CAGAGTAATAACTTGAACTTCCAGGGTTCCTCCTTTCCAGCTATCACAAAAATTTTATCCCTTTCAAAGTCTCCTCCACTCCCAAGTATTTCTGGCAGTCTCTGGGCATATCCTGATGTCAACAGTGCAAGAAAATGCCTTTTTCTACTTTTCTTAGGTTATGCTGTACATGACATCCTTGCATCCCAGCCTCTCACAAAGGTGTTACTGAGACAACTCTCTCTACACTACTCTTTTCTAGAACCCAGGCCTTGGTGGAGGGGACAGGGCAAGGCTAGTAGATGATCAATGTCATAGACCTCTCAGATTCCACCCCTACCTCTCTTCTGGTAACTGAGGCTTTGTTAGAGGGACAAGTCTGGCAGGCTGACTCCCTCGTCCCTTAGGGAGAGGGTTCTCTCAAGAGGTTCCCCAGACCTTTGTGCCTCTGCACTGCAGGCCACGATCCCAGGACACTAGGCAGAATCAAATGTGTGTGAGCCTCAGGAAGTGTCATGGCTGAGGCTCCAGTTGTGGCTTCCTAGTCAAATGGACATTCAAGCCCGGCAGTACTGAGAGCTGTCACAAAGGACAGATGGTCAATGGCAGCAAGAGACAGGAGAGATGGACTCCAGGTGGGGAGAACCTGGGAGACCTCTTTAGAGGATATGGAATTTAATCTGCATGTAAAGGATGAAAAGAATGGACTTACTTACCTCCTTCCTTCTCCCCTCCCTTCCTTCCTTTCTTCCTTCCTTTCTTCCTTTCTTTCTTTTTTTACTTCTTTCTTTCCTTATTACTTCTTTCTATCCTTTTTTTATTGTAAAATAAACATATTTTTAAACTAGTTTCAGCTGTACAACACAGTGCAATAGTTATACTTTTCACCCCTGAAAGTGACAAGCCCCCCCTCCCCCAATCCGCCACCCCACTTACCCCCAACACATCATACATATCTATTACAATTCCCTTGACTCCACTCCCACACTATACTCCACGTCCCATGACTCTCTCTCTCTCTCTCTCTCTCTCTCTCTCTCTCTCTCTCTCTCTCTCTCTATATATATATATATATATATATATATATATATATATTCACTTATAGTTGACATACAATATTATACAACATCAGCTTCAGGTGTACAGTGCAGCTTTCTATCTATTCTTCCTTCTGCCTTTGGTTAAGATGATTTGGGATGCACATAACAGAATATCTGATGAGAAATTGTATAAACAGAATAAAAAGGGTTCAGGATTAGTTAAATTGGCAGCTCAGTCAGGACAGGGTTCTGAGTTGCTTCTCTGTGCTTCTCTTGTTTCTCCCTTCTTGGGACAGAATAGCTGTCATTGCTCCAACATCACATATTTGCGTAAGAATGCCTAAAGGGACAAACAATCATTTCTCCCCATCTGTCTCTTTTAACCAGGAAAGAAACATTTCCCAGAAGTACACCAACCTCTGCTGCCCCCAGCTGATTTCCATCAGGCCTAGTTAACTAAAATTTGAACACATGCTCACCCCAAAATAATTACTGGCAAAGGGGAACGGCTTGGCCTAATCATGGTGCATCCCAGAGGCTGAGAGAAAGATAATCAGCTCTCCGAAACACCCAGAACCTGAACAAAATTTAGGTTCTATTAGCAAAAATGAAAGAAGAAATGGTAGTCAGTTGGCTTGGCAGCCGCCATGCCCCCAGCACTGTGCTGGGTCCTGAGAATCAACAATGAACAAGACAGGCACATTTTCTTCCTGTGAGTGTCCAGTGAGAGATGGAGGGAAGGGCATTCCTGGCAAGGAGGATAAGCAGATAAGTTTTAGTCAGAGCCTTGAGGGAAGGGACACCTGACAGAGGTTGAGGAAGAACATCCCTGACGCTGAAGCCAATTGTCACTCACTGCAGACATTCTCGGAACCTCTTCTGCACTGAGATATGAAACCCAGATCTTTCCCAGAACCTCCTCTGTGGTCAGACACTTTGGTCACACAACACACACACACACACACACACAGCAGCACTGACCAGCGCTGTGCTTGCCATGTACGTGACAGGGTGCAGAGCCACTTGTTCTACTCAGGAATAGACCAGGGAGCTGGAGATTGGGGTCCGGCTGTTACTACCCAATAAGCTCCTCACCATTCTGAACTCACTGTTTGTGAAGAAGGGCCTCAGTTCCACCCTCCATCAAACTGGAACAAAATAACCCCTGTCCTAGCTCCGTGAGCTCCATTTTCCCAGGCTTTTCTTTGCATGAGCCAGTCCCTCTGCCTAGAGCCTTTTTCCTTATTTTGTCCCCTTATTTTGAGGCCAACTTCTACTCTTCCTCAAGTCTCTGTTCAGCTGTCCCATGTCCCCTAGGGTCTCCTCTTTCTCCCCAGGCCTGGGCAGAATGAAAGCTCTTTATAAACTCCTAACTTTCATTGTCTATACTCCCTCCCACTCCGGGGAAAATGCTGTCTTTTGAAAGAAAGTAAGATATGAGAAAGAACTGTGCTAAGAAAGGCTGCTATGAGGTTAAGATACCTTTGAAATACCAGAATACCCCTCAGACGCAGGTATTAATCCTCAAGAGAGCACATAATCTCGTTAACTATTTTGTAATCCAATCGCTGTCTTGTTTTCCCCCACCTCCATGTAATCTTCCTGATGTTACCTCCTTAATTCCAAATGCATAAAAGAAACTGCAAAACTCATTCTCCAGAGCATTTGAAATCCTGTTCCCCAGCACTTGTCATCAGTTTGACTCAAATAAACTTTTATAAAAATTCTCTACAGGTTTGGATGTTCTTATGGAAACAGGTATTTGGTAACAAAAAAATACATTGTAATAAAAACATTAATAGTATGTATGTATATACATATATGTTTACATTTATATATATACACATGCAGCATAAAGTTTATTTAAATGCTATCAGTAAAAAAAATAAAATAAAAAACAGAATTGTCAAAAGGGGTCCCTTTATCACACTCCTTATCATCTCAGCCTAGGGCTGCTGGGTGGGATAGACAAGTAGGTAGATAGACAGATGATACATAGATAGATAATAGATAGATAGAGTGGGGGTGGGAGAAGCAATGAAAGTCATAGGCCCTGACGATTCAGTCCCAGAGCAATACCACCAAAAGCCAAATTTTAATCAGAGATTGTGGTGAGGGTGACCTCAGAGCAAGAGGAAGCAGGGACCCACCCCAGGAACCATGAGGCAGGACACCTTCCCCATGTTCAGGGCCAAGGCAGCTTGGCCAAGGGCTGGTTTTTTGTGTTTCCTTTATTTTATGGTCTTGGATGGCAGTTCTTAACAGGTACTGATCCCTCCTTGAAGATTTGATGGAAGCCATGAAATCACTATTCAGAAAACTCCACATAAATACATAGTTTTGTATTCAGTTTGGTGGATTTGAGACAACTCCGTTTCCCTTTCCCTCTGGGCACACAGGAACATTATACCTGCCAGCCTTCCCCGCGGTTAAGTGGGAACATGTGACTGAGTTCTAGCCACTGAACTGATGGAAGAAATAAAGGACACTGCTCCCAGGCCTGGCCCGCAAAACTTCCTTCACTATCTTCCACTCTTTCTCCCTGTGCCCTGCGGCCAAATGCACAGGGAGAAACTCTAAGGGAGGACTCTAAGCCCTGAGGGACGGCAGGGCAAGCAGAAGGAAGCACCTGGAGCCCTGAATGGCTGTGTGGACCAGTCTCCCCACCCGAGGCCCTGTGACATGGATGAGAAATAAGCATGTCCTGTGGGAAGCCAGCGGACTCCAGGGCTCTTTGTTACAGCAGTGAGACTCTCCTGACCAATACAGCCCTGCAGACAACCATCCACCAATCCCCACCCTTCTGCTCAGTCAGGCCTGATGGTATCCACACCAGATACTCTCGGCTCATTTGTTTCACACTAAACTACAAGCACATGCCAGTCCCACCTTCTGGAGCTTGTATGTAACTCACAGGGTTCTCAATCTTTGGTCACACATTTACATACACTCCTGGTCAACTCCCATGGTGGCAACCGTGTGTGTAATGCTGACAAGGGCTTGAGGTCAACAGAAGCTACATACATCTCTGTGTGACCTCGAGGGTGTCCCTTGATCACCCTGTGTCCAGCTATTTTCATCAGGGTACTAATTCCTGCCTTGCCTGCACGGTGACTATTAGAGCACTCCCAGAGTCTAGAGGGCTCCTCAGTAACCAGGTAAACTGACAACCCAGGTGACGACAATGGGCTAACACTCTCCTCCCTCCATTGGCAACTGTCTGCCCCAGCGTCAAAGGGTGTGCTTTTCCTTGGGCGTGCCCTGCCCCGTGGGGCCTGACCTGAGAGTCTCTGCAGCTGCAGAGGACAGTTTCTTTCTCCTCAACCACCAGCTGTGCCCCAGCCCCTACCCTGGGGGACATGGCTACACCCCGCTGGATAGGGCTGTCCAAGATCCGCTCTGGGAATCTCAGCCTCCACATCCTTGTCTCAGACTTTCCGGCATTTTGTTTCCTCTTTGTTTCATGTAAACACTCTTCTGACTGAGGCCAACCATGAACCATGTGTCCATAGAAACGGGAGTTTTCTGGAGGGAAGCGTAAGGACGAGGTGGGGGTTTGTGGCCTAGGAGGGTCCTCCGTTTTCCCTCCAGTGCTTGTCCTGAGTCAAGAGCCAAGCAGGAAGCTCTTCAGAGCATTGCTCAAGAGCAGAGGAAGCCCAAGAGGCCTGGGGTGAGGATGGGAGGGGGTCACTCTGGCTTCCCTGGCCTTGCCTCAGTTTCTCTCCCATAGCTCAGAGAGATGAGGCCAGACGGGAGGCTCAAAAGACCCCTGGTTAAAGGGAGCCAGGAGTCCAGTCTAGGCCTATGGCCGTTAAGGTGGGGGGCAAAGGAAGCAGGAACAGGCGTGGGGGGAAGGGGCAGGCAGGAGTGTCTCTGCTGGGAACAGGTGGGATCAAAGCGCCTGGAGGGCCCTCCAGGACAAAGGCAAACACTGAGGTCGCTGCTGCTCCCTCACAGCCCTGCCCCCGCACCCCTGCCCCCAGCTATAAGGGCCCTCGCCCCCACCAGCGTCCAGGCTGTGGAGGGATCATGGCCAAGTCACACCTGCTGCTGTGGCTGCTGCTGCTGCCCGCACACTGTGGCCCAGGCGCTGGTGAGTCTCCCCAGCCTCTCCTCACCGCCTTCCCACCTGGGACCAGGTAGGGAGGCGTATCAGGGCCATCTCCACCATTTACTGAGCCCTGGCTCTGTGCCAGGCGTTTCCCTAGTCTGTGTATTACCCTCATTTTGAAGATGTGAGAGCCAAAGCTCAGAGAGGCGCCAGGGTTTATCCAAGGTCACACAGCTCGTGGGAGCCCAGAGCTGACTCCAACACATTTAACGGCCATGCGTTACCAATGAAACTGGGTTTGGAGTTTGGGTGAGGTCAGGGTGCCAAGTATGGCTTTGGATCCCAAGATTGCTCTGGCCCCAAACAGCAGCTGTCAGGACCACCTCACCCCTGGCCTGCACCCAAGGCCCTGAGTTTTGGTGCCAAAGCCTGGAGCGAGCACTGCAGTGCAGAGCACTGGGACACTGCCTACAGGAGGTCTGGGGACACGCAGGAGCTGTGAGTACTACCCAGGACCCACTGGGACTGAAGGGCTGGGGTAGAGGGTGCTGAGTGGCTCTGGATGGGCCTGAGGAATTGGAGGAGCCCCCACAGGGGATGGGATGGGGTGGGATGGGATGGGGTAGAATGAGGTTGTGGGCAGTTGCCTGTGCCTTGGAGTGCCCTGTCGCCCTCTGCCTGAAAGAGCCTCACCTACTTGAGCTGGGAGCAGACCCTCAACTCATGTCTCCCACTGTGGGACCCCCTCCCCAGGATGACCTGTGCCAAGAATGTGAGGACATCGTCCACACCCTCACCAAGATGAGCCAGGAGGCCACTGTCCAGGTGATGATGCCCAGACCCTGGGTGAGGCTTCAGAACCAAGAGATGGGGGACAGAGTAGGAAGAAGAGGTTAGCCCATTAAAGGGGCCATATCCAGGCCATGGGTGAGCCCTAGGGTTGCCTGGGGACTCCAGGCGCCTCCTGGCCAGAAGAGGGCTCTGGGAGTTAGCTTTGTTATTCCTACAGGGGAAGGGTCCCTACCTGTCTGTGCTCAGCTACTTAACTCCTTGGCGCTCTCTGAACTCCAGTGCCCTGGGGAAAAGGTGGCCAGCCTGCCAGGTGGTGGCCTGGAGTGCAGGAACTCAGGCAGAGGCAGACCTCAGGGAAGCTAGGCTGACTGTCCCCTTTGCATCCTTGTTGGCTCCCACCTGACTGCCAGGACCTGGTACGGAAGTTCCTGGAGCGTGAGTGCGACATCCTCCCTTTGAAGCTGCTGGTGCCCCGTTGCCGCCAAATAGTGGACATCTACTTCCCGCTGGTCATCGACTACTTCCAGAACCAGATCGTGAGGGCCCTGCCATGCCCACCCAACCCAGACATACCCACGCCCACAGAACCCCAGCCCAGCACACGCACCACACACACACAGACCCTGCCCACAACCGGTCCAGGAAACACAGTGCCCCTCAACCAGGCACACAGCTCACAGCCCCATCGGCTTAGCTGTACACAGTGGGCTGGCACACTTACAGACACCACACACACCCTTCACACAAACATACACTTGGTCACACACTCAGATACACACTCAATCTCACGCAAAACCAACCCGTTACACACACATACAAGTACACTCTCACATACACTCTCACACACATGCGGACTCTCATTCATTCTCACAAATACACATGCTCACGTTCATGCACACAGATTCCCAGACACCTGCCCAAAGTCTCCACATGGCCCCATCGCTGCCTTTTGCCTCCCCCGCAGTTGTAAACCACAGCCCCACCCAGCCTGCTCTCCCCATTCCAGGCCCAAGGACGGTGGCCCTAGTCCCTGAGTCCTTGAGCCAGCCTGAGCAAGAATAGGGTTCCCTCCCTCACCTTAATCACCCCTTTACCCTGCATTGTTCCCTAGAACCCTAAGACCATCTGTGAGCACGTAGGCCTGTGCAGACTCGGGCATCCAGAGCCAGGACAGGAGCCGGAGCTGTCGGACCATCTGCTGGACAAGCTGGTCCCCGCTGTGCTGCCCCAGGCCCACCAGGCAAGGCCCAGGCCTCAGACACAGGTGAGGGAAGAGCCATACTGGTGGGCCCTCACACCAGATAGGTGGGGATCCAAAACACTAGGACACATCGAAGGCCCGTGAGCACTTGGCCCTGGGCGGGGCAGAACCGGTTGGCCTCTACGTAGAGCCTGAAGCGGTCGGGACAGAAGGGGAGGCAGAGCCTGGAGGATGCTTTTTCCCAGTGCCCAGCCCAGCTCCGACCTGCCATTCTCTCCCCCAGGATCTCTCCGAGCAGCAGTTCCCCATCCCCCTCCCCTACTGCTGGCTCTGCAGGACTTTAATCAAGCGGATCCAAGCTGTGATTCCCAAGGTGAGCCCGACCCCCCACAGATCCACCTTCTCCTACTCTCCCTCACACCCCCTTCAAGGGCCAGAAGTTAGGAGGAGAGCCATTCTCGTGCATGGCCCCCACTCTGCAGACCCTGGAGCTCAGGCTCAGTAGGTGCCAGGCCTAGAGTTCATTCAACAAATGTTAGCCCCCCCACTATATACCAGGCAGGCACTGTGCCAGGTGTCAACGCACAAAAATGGACAAGACCTGGTCTTGCGTTCCAGCAGCTCGGCACCTGATGGAGAAGAAGCCCCAGTGGTCTCTGTAGAAAACGTGTTTTAATTTTTCAAAGGGAGAACGTCCACAGATGAACTCTCTCCCTGCCTGGGTAGAACTTGGAATCTTCCAGACCTGTAGTGACCATCGCCCAGCCTTCCCCTACCCTGAAATGGGGCCCAAGTGAGGAGAAGCTCTGCCTCATCAGCCCTTCCCAGGTGGATACCCGCAGGCCATCTGGTCACTGAGGGCTCCCAGCAACAGAAAAAGTCCCTGCTTTCCTGAGTTTGTGCTATGGTGGAGAGGTGTTTTTTTTCTTTCAGATAGTGACAGGTTCAGAGCAGAGAATTAAAACAGATGAGGTGGGCAGCTCTCCACTCTTTGGGCAAGCCCTTGGGCAGACACCAAACTACATCCCCCGCCACAACTCTCCACAAAGGCCCACCCTAACCCCAAACAGACTGCTTGCATTTCAGCATCTCCGCTTCAAGGTTTCATATAGGGTGGACCGCTGTGGACAGGCTTCTAGGCAGGTATTGAAGCCAACTTGAAGGTTTAGGATGCAGGCTGATAAGAGAGGAGGTGACAAGTGTCAGACTCTGGGTAGGAGACTCGGGGACCAAGACCCTGAGCTGAAGAAGCACCTGCTAAGGCCAACAGCTCAACCTATGTTAGCAGCTGTGGTAGGTCCTTCCAGGAGGGGCTGGGCCCACTACTGCCCAATGCCACCCTCCTTCAATCCTCCATACGTAGGACCTGTGACAGTAAGTCCACGCTAGGAAAGGAGTCCGTAGAACACGACGTCCTCGTCACCACCAAGCTCGGCTTTCCTTATTGTTATTTACACTGATTACCAGCATACCTTCTTAGAGACCCATAATCAGGGCCTGGTGACCTCTCACAGCTGCAAGACTCTAGGACCAAGGAGATCCCTTTGGGAAACCCAGGTCTGCTGGATGCCAGCTGGGTCATTCTGGCTGTGGGTGGATGTCTGGGTGGGTGGGTGTGGGCACAGAGAGGGGCACCAGGGCCAAGGGGATTGCCACTCAGATTACCCAGTCCAGCCAAAAAACTAAAATAAAAATGAGATGATGGATGGTGACGGGAGAGGGGAGGTTAAGCTGGTTGGTCAGGGAGAGTCTCTGAGGAGGTGATGATTAAGCTGAAACCTAGAGGTCAACAAGGCTCTGATGGGCAAAGAGCTGCAATCAAGAATGAGCTTGGCAAGCTTGAGGGGCAGAGAGCCAGTGGGTTCCAGCAGGCAAGCCTGAGGGAGCGTGGTTGCAGAAGGGGGCAGAGGGGTGGGCACAGCAGGGCCATGTGGAAAGGTCTAAGCTGAGTTAAGAAATGCTGGATTTCAATCTGAATGCAATTTACAGCTAGTAAAGGGTTTCAAGCAAGGGATGCCATGATCTGATTTATTAGAGAGATCCCTCTTGTTCTGTTTAAAGAATGCATTGGGCAGATGGGAGGCACGCATGAAAGCAAGGAGAATAATTAAAAGATCACTGCAGAAATCAAAATGAGAGAAGACAGGGGAAGGGATGGAACTAAGAGTATAGACTGGGCATATGTTTGGGAGGTCGGCTCAACAGGACTTGGTGATGAATGGGACTTGGGGAGTGAGGACAAGCGAGGAATCAAGGAGGACTCTATGGCTTGAGGAACCAGATCTTTGGTAATGCTACCAGCTGACGTGGATAAACCTGAGAAGAAACAGGCTTGGGCGGGGGAAAAAAAGTTATGTTCTAACCGTGTTAACTTCGAGATGCCTTATGCGACATACAAGCAGGCAGTTAAATACCCAAGCCCTAGGGGAAAGTTCAGGTCACAGACATCAATAGGAGAGTTGCTGGCTATGGCAAGATTTAAACCCAGGGGAATGGGTGGGACCATCCAGGGACGTGGTGGGGACAGAGTGGAGGAAGAGGCCCGATCAAGCAAAGGCAAACACCAGCAAAAGAGCCTGAGGAGGACAGCCGGTGAAGCAGGGGTGACGCTGAAAGAAGAAAGCATTTCCAGAAGGAGGGAGTGGTCACCTGGGCTGAAAGCTGCAGGGAGATCAAGACATGACCAGAGGACTGACAACAGAAGCGGTTGTGACCTAAAGAGCTGTTTTGGAAAAGTGATGGGGCAGAAGCCCCAATCGAGTGGCCTCTGGGGAGAATGGAGGGGAAGGAGTGGAGCAGCAAGTATGGAAAACTCTTTCCGGAAGTTTTTCTGGGAAGGAGAGCAGAGACGGGTGAGGCTTTTAATGCTGGAAGCCACATTAGCAAGTTCACATGCCGATGAGACTGATCAATAGGCAGACGGGAGAAGTAATGAGATGGGACAGCAAGGACAGCGCAGGGTGAAGCACTTGTGAAGGTGGGGGCAGGGCCACAAGTGGATGGGACAGAGTGAGGAGCACTCATCTGTCATCACAGCAGGAGGGGAGGCCGAGTGTGGGTTCCCGTGCAAGCACGTGGGCACATTTGGTGAAATGTACTCGTTTGGAAGGGATCACACTCCAGAGAGTACGTTTCCTGTGCCTACTCCTAGCAGGGGCTGCCAGCAGGAGCGGGGCCAAGACCAGCCTGTTGCCTGCAGGTCCTTTACACGTATTGGTCAAATGAATGAAGGCGTGAAGGCATGAGCCAACATGCTTGCCACCTCCCTCCCTGCTTTTCAGCTCAGACCTTGTGTTTGAAATTGCGGTGGGTGGGGAAACATCTGGTTTCCCCCAGAGCTCCTAAAACCAGGAATGCGCTGGGGGCTTGCTCTGGGAGCCACAGACTAATCCTGTGGGTCAGAAGAGAGAAGACACAAATGCGGCTCCCCACCTTCCTTCTGGCTGTTGTTTGACCTTGGCCATGTCCACATCTCTGGGCTAGCCATGCGTGACCCTTTCAGCAATTCCAGTCTTTAGAGTCAGAGCTGGGTTCATGGCCTGGCTTCTGTGCTCACTTACTGACTCTGGGCAAGTCCCCTGGACTCTATGATGCTCAGTGTCCTTATCTGTAAACAGCATAATAATTCTCAGAAGGAAACGAGGGGATGTCTACAAAGCGCACAGAGTAGATCTTGCAAGGGAAGGTTCCACCCTGCCCTCTTTCTGCCCTGCCTTAGGGTGTACTGGCTATGACTGTGGCCCAGGTGTGTCACGTAATACCCCTGGTGATGGGCGGCATCTGCCAGTGCCTGGCTGAGCGCTACACTGTCATACTGTTGGACACACTGCTGGGCCGTATGCTGCCCCAGCTGGTCTGCGGCCTTGTCCTCCGGTGCCCCAGCGAGGATGGCGCTGGCGCAGGTGAGCTTGCTGCCCCAGCCCTGCACAACCCCTCCCTCTCCAGTCCCCCTGCACTGCAGCAGGAAGGACGGGAATTGAGCACCTCTGAAGAGCACCCTTGGCTGTTTCCTCTCTAGGCCTTGCCACTCTGGGGTCCCTGCCGGGAGAATGGCTATCGCAAGACTCCAAGTGCCACCTCTGCATGTTCGTGACCACCCAGGCAGGGAACAGCAGTGAGCAGGCCATGCCACAGGCAATGCGCCAGGCCTGCCTCAGCTCCTGGCTGGACAGAGAAAAGGTGCGGACAGGCAATGGGGCCTCAGGGCCCGGGGTGGAGGGATGAGCCAGGTAAAGCGTCCCAGCCAGAGACGCACGAAGTGGGCTGGGCCCTTGCCTTTGAGAAGCTCATACAGGACGTAGGCCAAACAACGGTAGGACTATAATAGGCAAAACCTGCTACAGTCAGAAGTGGCCTCTGGACCAAGGGCGTGGGCTCAGAGGACCAGCAGGTCTCCCCCGTGAATGCAGTGTGAGGCCAGTTACATATCAGGAGATGAGTAATGTCGGGGCCACCTGTGCAGGAGAGGGCCTGGTCTTCTCTCTGTGGTCCCAGTCCTGTTTCAGCCCCATCCCTCCTCCCAGTGTGTCTCACTGAGGACAAACCCACCTGCAAAAGGAGACATCCTAGAGTCTCAGGACTAACTGTGGATGACAATAAACTCCCTTCATAAAGTAAGATAGATCCCAGGAGGCAGCTTTCTGAACAGTATTCTCTTGGCCGACAACTTTCAGGGCTCGCCATTGCCCACTGTATCAGATGTCAAAGACCAGATGAGCTTTAAGATTTTTTCTAGAACGAAGAATGGGAGGAGGGCATGGTGGTAGCTAAGATTCTGGCCCTCTGCCTGGGTTTCAGGACCCTCCGTCCCATGCCTCTGCCTTCCCTGACAGAAACCTACATTTCAGCTCATGCCAGCTGTTCAGGGGGCTGATGCCTGGACCTGCACCGGGTCACAGGAAGCCCTGGAGTGACCCAGAGAAAGTGGAGAAGCCAGGGCAGCCAGGCAGGGGAGTCCTGTAATGGGCCTCGGGGCCACCCACACTGTGACTGTCTCCTTCCTCAGTGCGAGCAGTTTGTGGAGCAGCAGTCATCGCAGCTGCAGAGCCTGGTGTCCAAGGGCTGGGACGCCGGCGCTGTCTGCCAGGTACGGCTTCCCCTCCCAGATGGTCCTAGGACTTTCCTCAGATCCCAGAGCCCCCATCCTCTCTGGTCCATGATCTGCAGAGGCCCCACCCCTTTGGTCCAGGGCAGCCCTCTTCCTCCACTGTTTTAATATAGAGAAGGAAGACTTAGAAGGGTCAAGAAAAAGCCACCAAGGAATGAAAAAGGAGTTCGGGAAGGGAGGGGGCAGCTTTAAGGAATGTGGTTTGATGTACATTAGAGGATGGGGTTGTTCACAGAACCTGATAGAGGTGAAAAGTGGGTGTCCTGGGGCAAGCATCTCACCCCCTCCCCCAACCCAGAACAGGAAGGCAGTGGCTTAGGGAGTGGCCTGAGGGGTCTAGGAGTTCACACCTAGAGCTCCCACCACGGGGCAGGTGGAGTGATAGCTGGTCCTCTGGGAGGAGCCTCCCATTCCCCTCAGAGCTAGAAAGATGGAGTGGGGGGCGAGGCCCTAATGCTGTCTCTGTGGCAGGCCCTGGGGGCGTGTGCAACCATGTTCAGTCCTCTCCAGTGTGTCCACAACCCCCACTTCTGATGAGAACTCAAAGCTGCGCCAGGTGAGTCCAGGCTCTCAATTGGGGGCAGAGAAAGGGGAAGGGTCCTGCACCCATCCAGAGGGAGGCCCTCTGCTCCCCAAGCAGGAAGAGGCAGCCACTGCTGCTGGCTGCTCCGTCCTCCTCCTCCCAGGCCACAGCTCAAGGGTCCTTAGTGCCCCTCACAGCACACCCTCTGGACTTCCCGATCTTCACTATTTCCTGTGTTCAGACCAAGGCCAACCTTTCTTGGAACTCAGGGGAAGTCAGACTTTGCTGCCCAAAAATGTCGTTCTTTGGGTACCTGGAACTACACCATCATCTGCTCCTCCCTCCTGAAACACCCTCCCTCTATCTATCATTGTCTAAGTCAGAGATAGCACCTTAGGATGGAGGGGTCACATGCAGCTTCTGTGACCAGGCGCTTCAGGTCAGCAAAGTGACCCTGAGAGGGATGGACACGAAAACAGTAGACTTGAAGTCTCTGCAGAGCAAACTTGGTCCACTTTACAATTCTGCTCAAAGCCAGCCCCTAACACAATGGTCATTTATTCATTTCTTCACTCATTTTTTAAAAATGTAGTGCATGCCTGTGGCCAGGCCACATTCTAGTGGCAAGAAGGGCTAGAGCTATGAATAAAACTGTGAGCACCCCGCCCTCCTGGAGCGCACACCCCAGGGTCCCCCTCTTCCATCTTAAGGGGGAAGCCCAGCCCTGCTCCCGAAACGCTCCAGCATCACAAGGCCTGTGGGAGGTGGTGGGGAAGAAACATCTGCCCCAACTCAGACCTATCCCACAGGGACCAGTTTAATGTTACTTCTCCCCCACTGGTGATAGCTAGTAGGAGCTGGGGGTCAGGGAACTGCCCGGGAGACTGGGAGCCGCCTTTCCCCAGCTCCCAGGGCTCCCAACAGGAAGAGCTGGGCCTTGTCTCTCTCTTTTGAAACAGGAAGAGCAGTGGGTTGGGTCAGGAGGCCTGGGCTCTGGTGCCAACTCTGCCATCAACTGGCCATAGGTCTCCAGCCAAGACACGCCGCCCCCTCGCTGGTCCTCATTCTCCTCAGTGGCAAAGGGGGAGCCAAGTGAGGCCCGGTGAGGCCATCTCCAGGACTCCAGAGCTCTCCCACATGACAAGACTCTTTCTCAAGCTCCCTGCCCCCACTGAAAAGAAGCCTTCACTCCCACACCTGCTTGCCCTCCTCCTTTCCTCAAAAGGACCTTAAGCTGGTGGACCACAAGCCTGCAACTTGTACCCTCAGTCCTGTATCAGTCTTGTCCATCTTCTCTGTAACCACAGCCCCAAACCAGAGTCACTCCCATCCTCTGTGGGTGTAAGGTGCGGCCAGGGCAACATCTTCTGGAGTTTGTGTTTGAGAACTGGCTCCAGCCTTGTCACCCCACCGCAGCCAGACCAATTCCCATAGATGCCCCAGGGCTGGGCCGAGGTAAACACGTCTTCAAGAGGACAGAGGGGTAGAAGTTGGGCCCTGCCTCACTCGATCTCCATGTAGGAAAGACACTAGCTTTTACAACTATTCTGTTAACACTGTCACAAAGCTCAAACTTCAGAAGGATGAAAAATGAAAACATAAAGTACCATAAAAGATAGACATGAAATCTTTAAACGTTTTTTTAAAACTTCAGGACATACCTGGTGTGATTAGGGACTCAAGCATGGTGGGAAGGTAACTGAGCAAACTTTCATATTTGAAATGTTCTGCTGCTTAAGAGCTGTCACTTTGTTAAGATGTAAAACGGGGTTTTCTTTTGATCTCTTTTGTAAAGTTGAACTTCCAATTTTTGTTTGAAATTCCAGGCTGATTCGCTTTCTGCTATGATTTATCTCCTCAAAGCTCATTTAGGGCTGTGCATGCTAAGGATCAGTTCCTATGTAATACAAGGCCTGTACCAATGCTTACAAAGTCCTATTTCCTTGTACTAAAAAGAAAAGGATACTGTCCTTTAAGATGGTGCAGAAGCCGCAGCCTCACCCCGAAGTTAGCTGAGTGGGGGGCCTACCTCACTCCCCTCTGTGACAGAGAAGCAGATGTCACCTCTCCCTCTTCAAATTTTTCCCAGCCTGGCCTCTTACTCTCCCCTCTCTCAGAGTTCACTCACTGTGATGAGGTGAGGTTGTTAGGGTACGAAAAATCAAAATATGCAGAAAAATGAATAATAAACCTTTGGCATTAAAGACCTAAGTGCCTGGAAGTATCCTTTTATTTATAAAAGAACTTTTGTCATTATATTTCCTATTATAAAAGAAATACATGTTTATTATAGAAAATTCAGAAACTGCAGACCAAATAAGAATTGGAGAGTACTATAGCAGGATGTGTACTCTGACACGGACAGACTTTTCAATCCATTTTCTGCAGCCCTCCCCCATTCAAGCACCAAGCAAGAGCTTCCTAGACAACCTGCTCTTGAGGTAGGGATGACACACACAAATCCTTGGCCTCTGAATTTAAACTTTCAGTGTCTTCAATTTTTTAAAAAGCTTGGTTGGGGGCCGGCCGAGTGGCGCGATGGTTAAGAACTGGCTTGGGACGCCAGAGGGCCCCAGTTCGGATCCCACATATGAGGGCCAGTGACACTGCCCTCCACAGCTAAGATGCTGAACAACAGCTCAACCTGGAGCTGGGCTGCTGTAAGTCTCTGGCAACGGTGTAAGCTGCAGCCCCTGTGGCAGTGGGTTGCCATGGGCTACCGTGTGTAGCCAGCAGCCAGCAGCGTGAGCGGCCAGCAGCCGCTGTGAGCGGCCGTCCAGAAGCCAGTGACTGATGCGCCTCGCCCCCGAAGAGCGCAATGATGGTGCCAACTTGGGCCAGTGAAGCAACGTCCTCCACAGCTAGACTGAAGAACAAAAGGACAGCAACTTGTCTGTTCCCCTTCCCCAGCACTGTTTCCATCCCCCCAATTCCCCAATAAAAATCTTTAAAAAAAAAATAAATAAAAATAAATAAAAAGCTTGGTTGGGAAGATGAAGAGCCAAAGTGTGAATGAGAGGAGGCATTAATACTTTATCCCACAAGCAAGCATGGGAATAAGCCCCTGATAATGGGAGAGGAGGCTTCACTCAAAAGGGGGTCAGGAGCTGACCAGCTGGTAGGAGAGAATTGGCAGGAAGTGGCTACAACTGAAAGTCAGAGGGTCCCTGAGGCGCCCCTAACATCCTGCATCCCAGAGGGAGATCGAGAATATGCCCCGGGATGGGTAAGGGCCCAAGAGCAGCGGGGACTTGTTTTTCACTTTCCAGGGTGTGGCGTGAGGAAAATACAAATCTCTTAGAGAAGCCTGCCTCCAATCTGACATCAGAAAGAGTGAAGAGAACAGCTTTAAAGAGGGGCCTAGTCAGATAGGCCTGAGGACAACCTCAGAGGATGCCTCCTGCCTGAGGCAGGAGAGCAACCACACACCAGAGCCCAAAAGGCTGTCAGAACCGCTCTGGACAAAATGGTGGGCCCACAAGAGCCTGTGATTGGGGACGAAGCATTGACAGATTTCGTGGACCTTGAGAGGAGCAGAAGTCAGGCATGTATAGCTAATGTGGAAGGTGGAGATCAGGCCAGGTCAGAGAAGGAAAAGAAGAGCAAGATTAAAGGGGAAAGAGAGAGCATTCATAGCAGAGGACACAGGTGGCACAAAGGCTTTGTGTCCTGTGGCACATCTGAGCAACAAGAAGGTAGGTGAGCTGGGATTTAGGACAAGGAGAAACCTCCCAAGAGGTGAGGCTAGAGAGGCTAAGGATCCAAGCCTTCATCCTAAGAGTCAAAGTAGTGTCTTCAGGGAGATCAGGGTGTGGGGGAGAAGTATCTCGGTTAGACTTGTGTTTTAAAAGATTACTCTAGCTAAAGCATGAATGAATTAGGGGGAGGGGACAGGGAATGTGGGGATACCTATTAGAAGACTATTCTAAAGAGAAACTGGCAATGGCTTAGACCAGAATGATAGTGGCAGAGGGCCACTGGATCTTGGAGAATGACTTCAGACAACCATAGGCTTAATCAGATGGTGACTCCAATTGAAGTTGTTGTCCCAAATGTAGTACAGCAGAGCCCCTGGCACCCAGCATGCAGCTAAAGCCTTTGTTTCCAGACCAATTTGTAGAGATCACCAGAGTAGTTTGCTTCTACCTGTCAGGGCCAGTAGTATACCTTCAGGGTTGCCTCAGAGCAATGGCAGTTCTGCTCTCTACCATAATATAGTAATACCTCGGTTTGTGAGCATAATTCGTTCTGGAAAAAAACTACTCGTATTGCAAGACATCGCTCGTTTACCATGTTAAAATGTATTATTAGGTGGTGCAAAAGTTACTTTTGCACCAACTTTTGCACCAACCTAATAGAAATGTTTGCTCGTCTTGCGGAACACTCGCAAATCAAGTTACTCACAATCCAAGGTTTTGCCGTATAGTGCACAGATATCTTGATCGTTTTGGCAGTCCGCTAAACATCACACTAGTCTACTACACTGATGACACGACGACTGGATCTGATGAGCAGGAAGTGCCAAGTACTTTAGATGCCTTAGTAAGACATAAGCGAACAAGGGGGTAGGATTTAACCCCCAAACAATTCAGGGTCCTGCCACCTCAGGAAAGTTTCTAGGGATCAATGGTCTAGAGCAGGGGTCAGCAAACTTTTGAGAGGAAGAGCTGCCAGGGGTCAGCAAACTGCAGCTCACGAGCCACCTGCGGCTCTTTGGGTACGTATATGTGGCTCTGAAGTAAAATTGAAAATGAAAATAAAACGATCATAGTTTCATTTATAAAATTTTAAAAGGATATTATTCATATAATAGTGATTATGTAAAAATATATTTATGGCTCTCAAATAATTTTTAAATTGTTGTGAGGGACAGGGTTGCCTCTTCCAGAGGTTGGCAAACTTTTGAGACGGAACGTACCCAAAGAGCCGCATGTGGTTTGCGAGCCACAGTTAGCCCACCCCTGGTCTAGAGTATGTCAAAATACCCCTCCAGAGTGAAAGACAAGTGACTGTACCTACCACCCACCACCACCACCCTACCACCTGCCCCACCTGTTCAGGCAAGTCCAAAAAATTAAAAAGGAACAATGTTTGGAAGGCTTTTTTGGGGTTTGGAGACAACGTATACCACATTTCAGTGTGTTATTTTGACCCAACGACAGACTCACAGCTGTGAAGCTGCTAGTTTCAAGGGGAGACCAGAACAAAAGAATGCTCCACAGCAAATTAGGCTGCACAATGGGCTGCTCTGCTACGTAGCCTTATACTCCAGGAGATCCAGGGACATTCTGAAGTGTCCATGGCAAATAGGAATGCTGTATGGGGTCCCTGGCGAGGGCCAATAGGGGCATCACAGTGCAGAACTCCTGGGTTTTGGAGCAAGCCTATGCCCTCTTCTGCAGGTACCTATTCTCCTTCTGAGAAACAGCTTCTGGCTAGCTACTGGGCCATGGTAAAGACTGAACACCTAACCCTGGGACATCAGGTGACCTTGCAGCCTGAGCCTCCCCTCATGAACTACCTGCTGACTCAGCTAGCCATGTTGGGCACATGCAGCTGCCATCTATCATGTGGAACTAGTGCATGAGACCAAGCTCGGGCAGGTCCAGAGAACACAAGGAAGTTACATGAGCAGGAGGTTCACATTCCTTTGTCAGCAGCTCCTGATGCATCACCTCCTGGGGGTTCAAGACCAGCTGACCAAGGAAGACAAAACTCAATCCTGCTTTATAGAAGAGTTTGTACAGCAGGCTGGTACAACCTGCAAGTGGACAGCTGCAGCACTTCATCCCCATTCAGGGTGAAACTGAAGGACAGTAGTGGAGGAAAATACTCTAGTGGGCATGACTTCAAGCAGTATATTTGGTTGTTCACTGTATTTGGAGTGTGAGATGGCCAGAAATACAGATCATGGGCAGTTGCCAATGGTTTGGTTGATAGTCAGAGATTCAGAAGAAACAAGATTGTAAGACTAGTGAAAAGGAAGTCTAGGGAAGAAGTATATGAATGGGCTCCTTGAATGAGTATATACTATGAAATATTTGCATTCCATATGAATAGCTACCAACAAGCATCCACTGCAGAGAAGACTCTTTTTTTTGTTGTTTTAATTGGGGAATTGGGGAAGGGGAACAGACAAGTTGCTGTCCTTTTGTTCTTCAGCCCAGTTGTGGAGGACGTTGCTTCACTGGCCCATGTTGGTATTATCATTGCGCTCTTCCCGAATGAGGCAGATCGGTCGCCGACCTCTGGACCACCACTCACGGCAGCTCTTGGCAGCTCATGCAGGCTGCCGGCCACACAGTAGCTTATGGCAGCCCACTGCAGCAGGGGCTGCAGCCTACGCTGTCGCTGGCGACTCATAGCAGCCCAGCTCCAGGTCAAGCTGTTATTCACCATCTTAGCTGTAGAGGGCGCAGTGTCATTGGCCCATGTGGGATCCGAACCGGGGTCCTGCTGCTCAGAGCTGGCGTCCCAAGCCAGCTCTTAACCAGCACACCACTCGGCCGGTCCCAGAGAAGACTCTTAATAATTAAGTACATACTAATGATGCTCTGTGGATGTCAGCCAACGGCCTCTTTATCCAGCCAACCCGTGTTTGCTCAATGAGCTCATGAGCTATGAACTCATGGGGAGGGGGACGGGGAGACAGAGGCCACGCATGTGCTCAGCACCATGAGATTTCCCCTTCCCGTGACGTGAGTAGTGCTTCTGCTGAGTACCTATCTAATGTGCCAACAGCAGGGGTTAACACTTGAGTCCCCAACAGGGCACCATTCCTTGTGGGGACTGGCCACCTACCTGACGCCAGGCTGATTACCATCTTCTATTATGGAGGAGGCAGCAATTTGTCCTCAGAGGACTAGAAACATATTCTGGATATGAGATTTTTTTTTTTAAGATTTTTTTTTGGGGCAATTTGGGAGAACAGTGTTGGGGAATTGGGGGAAGGGGAACATTGTGTTTTTCCAGGACCCATCAGCTCCAGGTCAAGTTGCTGTCCTTCAATCTTAGTTGTGGAGGATGCAGCTCAGCTCCAAGTCCAGTTGCCGCTTTCAATCTAGTTGCGGGGGTGCTGGGGGGGGGCGTAGTCCACCACCCCATATCCCATGCCGGAGACGAACGAACCTTGTTGCACACTGAGCCATGTGGCCGCCCATCGGCAGCTCATGGATGCTCAGCTCAAGGTGCCGTGTTCAATCTTGGTTGGG